ATGATCAGCCAAATGAGTAGATTAGTACAAACTTAGAATGATTTCACTGTTTCTATGTTTAGTTTTTACTTAAGATTCATTTGAATTATGTTACATTTTTAATTGTGAGGTTATTCAGGTGCTGATGAGATTTTTTGACAGTTAGTTGGAACGAAGGGGCGCCATTGAACCGGTTTGCTTTGTCCTGTCTTTGGCATATACTTAATTTTACTTATATGACTGATGAGAAAGGACCAACACATTTAATGTTACGTCACTAATAAGTACCTTCAAAAGTTCGTGGGGCCAAAAGAGTTCAACTTTTTTGTAAATTGAGCCTTTTTCTCGCTCACCCTTCACGTGAACATAGGGAGAGATCTGCTGAAGATAACTTTGTTCAGAGGATGCCGCCTTTAGAGGGACCTCCTTAATTGAAGGCCCGGTTTCAGGATTCTCGTTTTTAAAGTGGGCCACGATTCTGGGTTGCTCTCCATATCTCAATTCGCATATGGTGGACGTTGTGCTGAGAAGGGAATATGGAAGAAGTTCTTCTCCTAGAATAAGGTTGACCAAGCTGCTTTTTCCAGAGCCTGTCTCACCTTTAAATGAATAAACCGTGAATTTATTAGTTTTTCTTCATAGTCTTCTTAGACCTCATCAAAATATCATAAGAAATCAAAATGGCGTTTCTCCGAAATTCAAGAAATGATTGTGTAGTGTCTCCTGTTTTCTAGGGCTTTTTAATAAATCTTGCATTGAACCTTTTCCATTTTTACAAGAAACTTGGCCTTCATAGAATGGTAACATTCCCAGGTTGCTAGGTTGAGGAATGTTTCTAACCACTGTGCACTGACAATGTCAAGTGACTTCTGACTTGCCTGTTTTTGAGTAAGTTACAATTGATTCGATGTCACGAAATTATTGTTGTGTCAAATACCAATTTTGAGATCCTTTCTCGGAGAAGTTAGTTATTGAACCGCTTTTAAAACTCTTGCTTTGTGTCGTTTACCTGCCACCAGAAGGAGATATTCTTTTCGTTTTAGTTGTGCTTGGTGATTTTCTATCTTCTCTTTTAAGTTGACCACGTTCTTCTGCAGCAAAGCGAGAATTTTGTCATCCATTTTTTTCAGACACTCCTCGGTATCGGAGTAAGCCTTAAGTAAAGCTTGTCTTTTCCAGGCATCTTCATCTCTTGCTTCTGACAAAATGGAAAAGGCCTAAAACATGAAAGCAAAACCAATTCATGGCTCAAATCAAGCGTGTCCTTTAATTGTATTTGATTCTTTCAGTCTCTCATACCGGCGCAATTCAGTAATTTTGATACTGATGTTTATGCTTGTTACATGTAATACTACATCATTAGGAACTCATTGTTTTAGCTTTGATAGGAATTACCGACTTAGTGAATTCTCCTACGCGCAAAACCCCCGCAGTAAAGGGTTAATGCATGTATTGTCACCTGGCGAGCGGAGCGATCGACGTGTCCCATTGAGAACAGTTGC